ACAGCACTTAAAATCCAAGAATTGAGACACAGGAGTCTGCTGACTTTCAAGTACATCAGCATTCACTATACCACAGTGACCACATACAGGAACTTGGCAGCCTGTACTCCATAGTTTTCTAAACCCAATTTAGAAAGTAGAGTTAAATATAATCCTTGCTATTACTAGCATGACCAAATCCCAGTCCATTCTTCCGGAAGGATATTGGCTTCATCATAAAATAATTATTATAAAATAAGTTAGATTTTATTTCTTTCTCTTCCTGTATGACCTTTATAGGAGAAAGGTGGAAATGGGAATAGACATGTAATCCAGAGAGGTTTGGCCTTTAAGCCTAAAGTCAAAAGTTAAGTTCTAACCTTCATGTCTGAACTCTGCCCCAGCTGAGTGGAGAAGTATAAATGGTGAAAGGCTCCTAAAGATTGATGCTGGGATCAGTCTATCATTATAAACAGTATAGAAGAAATATGTAAATAGGCACAGTATGATCACTTCTGTGGTTTTCTGTTTTCTATCTAGTTAAATTCCAAGCAAATGAGAACTGATTGTAATGACAGAAACGTTGCAAATGATTTCAAAGTGTCATAGTTAGTGTGTGGACTATCTAACTTGTATTTCTCCTTTAAACTATATATGTATAACTCCATTTATAATCCAAGAACCATTATGGACTATTCTCAAGCAGGCAGGTTTGATCAGAAAAGTCTAAAATGCTGTACTTTATCAAGAAGGGAATTAGCAATGCAAGAAAAAAGAGTTTACCTATTTAATATACACGTATCCACACCATATCTATATCCATAAAAGTCATAATGGATCCATAGAAGTCCATATATCCTGAGGAACCAAGTAATCACTTTAATGCTGACACATGGATGAATGGATATGGATCACTAAGACAGATAAATAACAGATACAATAATGGTTATGATAGTTTTTTAAAAATCCTGAGAAAAGGTCTAAATTATCAAGGTGATTGCCTCTTGTCATAAAAAGAATAAACTAAAAGATCAAACAGTTTAGTCTGGGAAATAAGAAGCAAAATGGTAGATATTCCAGTGGCATTTTTCACTGAAATAGAACAAACAAGTCTAAAATTTGTATAGAATCACAAAAGACCCTGAATAGCCAAAGCAATCTTGAGAAAGAAAAACAAAGCTGGAGGCATAATGCTTCCTGACTTCATACTATATTACAAAGCTGTAGTAATCAAAACAGTGTGGTATTGGCTTAAAACAAACACACAGATACAAATAGGGAGGTTAAAAATAAGACCATTCATAATGGTCAATTAATTTACAGCAAAAGAAACAGGAACATTCAATGGGGAAATGAAAGTCTCTTTAATAAATGTTACTGGAAAAATGAAAAGCCACATGCAAAAGAATGAAATTAAACTACAATATACTGTAAACAAAAATTAACTCAAAATAGACTCAAAGACTTGAATGTAATACCTGAAACCATAAACTCTTAGAAGAAAATATAGGCAGTAAGTTCCTTGACATTGGTCTTGGTGATAATTTGTTGGATCTGATTCCAAACACAAAAATAAACTAGTAGGACTACATCAAACTAAAAAGCTTCTACAAAGCAAAGGAAATCATCAACAAAATGAAAAGGCTACCTAACTGGGAGAAAATATTTACAAATAATATATGTGATAAGGGATTCATATCCCAAAATGCACAAAGAACTCATACAACTCAGAAAAATAATAATACAATTTAAAAATAGGTAGAGGATCTGAAGAGACATTTTTCCAAAGAAGACGTACAGACAGCTAACAAATACATGAAAAGATGCTGAACATCACTATTCACCAGGGAAATGCAAATCAAAACCACAATGAGATACCATCTCTTGCCTGTTAGAATGGCTGTTATCAAATAGACTTGAAATAAATGTTGGCAAGGATGTGGAGAAAAGGTAACTCCTGTGCACTGTTGGTGGGAGTGTGAATTTCTACTGCCATTATGAAAAACAGTGTGGAGGTTCCTCAAAAACTTAAAAATAGAACTACCATTTGTTCTAGCAATTCCACTTCTGGATATTTATCCAATGAACATGAAAACACATATTTATCCAATGTACCCCATGTTCACTGCAACATTTTTTCAATTGCCAGAGTATGGAAGCAACCTAGGTGTCAGTCAGTGGATGAATAAAGATGAAGGGGTTAAATACACAGTGGGATACTTTTTGGCCAGAAAAATGAATGAAATCTTATCCGTTTATTACATGGCTGGACCCTGAAGCATGCTAAGTGAAATAGTGAGACAAACACCTTACCATGTCCTTTATTTGTGGAATTTAAACAACAAAATCCAAGCTCCTAGATAACAGTGAAGACATTAGTGGTTGCCAGAGGGGGCGGGGGGGCTGGGTGGTGGGAGAAATGAATGAAGGGGTCAAAAGGTACAAGCTTCCAGTTGTAAAATAAGTCCTGGATGTAATATACAGCATGGAGACTATAAATAATACTGTATTGCATATTTCAAAGTTACTGAGAGCAGATCTTAAAAGTCCTCATCACAAGAAAATAAATTTTGCCCTAACCGGTTTGGCTCAGTGGATAGAGCGTTGGCCTGCGGACTCAAGGGTCCCAAATTTGATTCCAGCCAAAGGCATGTACCTTGGTTGCGGGTACATTCGCAATGGGAGGTGTACAAAAGGCAACTGATTGGTGTTTCTCTCTCATCGATGTTTCTAACTCTCTATCCCTCTCCCTTCCTCTCTATAAAAAAAAATCAATAAAATATATTTTTAAAAAGATAAAATAAATAAATTTTGTTATTATATATACTGATGGATGTAAACTAGACTTATTGTGATCATTTTCTAGTATATACAATACTAAATCTTTATGTTATACATCTGAAACTAATATAATGTTATATGTCAATTGTCTTCCATATAGAAAAACAGAAACAACTTTTAGTCTGCCAAGTAAGAAAACAAAATATAGTAGATAATAGTGACATTTTTAGAATCATGAAGGTAATAGATCAGATAGTGTGGAGGACTAGATTTAGGGACTCGGGAAGATTCAAGGCCAATTTAAGATGTTCTCTTTCATACATGAAACTCAGCTTGTAAACAGTTTTTTTAAGCTAGATGAATTCAGATCTGTTACTACCTCTGAAGTAAGGACAAAAATGATTTTTCTTTTCTTTTCACAGTGCTGTGACCTATTCTGGAATCCATCTGTTGAGATGTTTTATAGCAACTATAACAGGAAATCTTAAGACTAATTAACGGCACCTAACTTTGCTGAAGACTCAACATTTTTTATTTTTTAAGCAGTGAAAGGCTAGATATATTTCCCCGTGGAAATAGAAATACAGCCCAGCCGAAGTGATTCAGTGGTTGAGCATCGACCCATGAACCAGGAGGTCAGAGTTCGATTCCTGGCCAGGGAACATGTCTGAGCTGTGGGCTCAATCCCGAGTAGGGAGTGTGCAGGAGGTAGCCAATCAATAATTCTCTCTCATCACTGATATTTCTGTCTCTCTCCTCCTATCTGAAATCAATAAAATTATATGTTTTTAAAATGGAAATAGAAAGGATGAAAACAGAGGATCTGAATTGACCTGTACATCTCCAATACCCTGAGCAAAACCCTTAATTTCCTCTCCTATTCAATGGGTATAACACTGCCTACCCTACAATTACTGTGCACACGAAGTAGATTTAAAATATTCTACATCTTAAACAGCAAAACAGCATATATATATCTGTGAAATACAAAATAATGGTTTGACCAAATAAACACTAGTTTGTTATCCTTTTCATGAACTTTTAATGATTATCATTTCTGCTTCATTTAACCCTGACATCAAACCCAATCTTGAACAAGACAATTCTCTCCATCTCCGGCTGCTCCCACCCTGAGATCCCTTTTAGATGGAAAGGCTTTGAGGGATCCCAATGTGAAAACCTTTCCAGAAATTCATTCCTGAGGAATACTTAATTTCTCTCATATCCTTTCATCAAAACTTGTTACAAAACTCTTACTATATCCAATTTTTCACTAAAATGGAAATATTTTTTCAATAAATTTAAAAAAATGCACAAATTTTAGACAAAATGGGAACCATTATAAAGTCCTGAATAGATATATGTCTAACAATAGATAAGAGATTATAGTGAATGCACAGAATGTTGCTTGAAGGGCACATTAAAACCTGGTCAGAAGGACTGCCTCTGTGAAGGGGGAATAAGATCTTTATTGCTATTTGTGGCTGACATTGTTACTGTGAGCATCTATTGTTTTTTTTTGTGTGTGTTTCTTTTTTTCAATAAAAATGAAGCCCTCAAGTGTCTAATTTCATGTATTATTTCAAGCAGTACTTACTGGCTCACAATTAAAGATGACTATCGTTAGGCAGTTCTATGCAAAGAAAGCAGTACCTGGAGAGTCTAGCTCCTGGGAAGGAACATTGCCTGACCCTGACCTCGGAGTATGGTGTGTGCCCTTGTAGAAGGCAGGCACCTTCTTCATCTGCTCTCACTCATCCTGCTGCTCTGAAGCTGTGGGCAGATGGGCCATCATTGCTACTAAAGCTAGCATCTGTGAGGATTAAGTTTGTTTTACATATAGTTGTATCCCCAGACATTCCTAATGCTTCTGAATGAATGGATAGAATGGTGAAGAGTATAAATAAATAAATCCAATTTACACGTTAAGCACCCAGTCCCCGGTGACAAAACACAAACCAGGCTGGGTGCTTAATGTGTTAACCAAGTTTACTCCTCACAGTGATACAACTGTGCCCAACAAAAGCAGCAAATAAAATTGTAGATGGAGCAGATACTACTTTTAGGCCCCCTTACGCATTTTAAAGAAACCTGACTTGTATATACCATTTCCTAAATAACATCAAAAACGGAACATAATTTTTTAATATACTTACCTATAACTTTAAGCTTCCACATGTTTAAGGCGGTTACTTTTAAGAAGTTTATTACCCATAAAGGAAGCCTGAGCCTTGAGCTCCTTGCTCCTGCACCACAGAATCACCATTTGGATTTCTCAGAAAATTGTATGAAAATCTCAGCCTTTTGAAATTTTTCACAAAAGCTGTGGCACATGGAATTTCTATCTCTTTCTGAGGAGAATGTTTCATTGCCTTTAGTTAGGACTCAGGACATTTAAATTCAAACCTGGTCTTCTGAAATATAGAAAGGTGATTTGTTACTGAACTGTAAATATGTAACAATAGAGAAAAGTTGACTCAGTCTATCAAAATTTTGAAAATCCGTTTTTTAAATATATTTTTATTCATTTCAGAGAGGAAGGGAGAGGGAGAGAGAAATATCAATGATGAGAGAGAATCATTGATTGGCTGCCTCCTGCATTGCCCGACACTGGGAATTGAGCTGCAGTTGGGCATGTGCCCTGACCGGGAATCAAACCTCCTAGTTGATAGGGTGATGCTCAACCAACTGAGCCATGCTGGGCAGGCGAAAACCGGTGTGTTTTTTTTAAAAAATAAAAATAAAAATAAAACTCCTTTTTAGTTCATTGTACTTTCCCTTTGTCCTAAAAAACTTAATTTTTTATTCACTGCTCCTAACACAAAATTTGTCCCCTTCTGTACTACAGTAGATTACATCTACAACTGAATTCAATTGCACACAGAGAACACTATAGATACTCGCTAACACATCTCTTTCACCTACACATAAGAATAAAACTCCACATGATTAAATATTGGTCAAAGCCTATCTGGTGGGAGAAAAGAAACACTGAAAAGCCTCTTTCCTCGCCTGGACTCCCACAACTTGTTCTTCACTTCCTTCTATACCCCAAGTCACCTTCCTCAATGATGGGTTATAAATGTTACTAAAGACACATGAAGTCAGGGGTGATTGCTCAACATATGTTAAAATACCTAATTAAGTACCGTTTTCAGTTTCAATTTAACCATCTTTTGATGTTGCACCTTTGTCTCTTCAATCCACCTTTCTGTATTAAGTCGTTTGAATTTTACCAACTTTACTACTTATGAAATTATGTCACATATTATGTCTGCTTCCATCCTTCAAAGCGTGCCTTCTTCCAAATTTCTTATCCTCAAGAATATAAAAACCAGTAGAAAATATAAAAGTATAAACCTGCCAGTGCTTTGTGGTGGTGACTGGTTAAAGAAGTCATCTGAAAGCAAACTAAGCATATTAGTGCTAATTGCTAAAAAATGTGGCAGTGAGTCATGAATGAGAGGGATTCTGACCAACCAACTTCAAATCCTAGGAATAGGTGGATGGACTACAGACGTTTCAGGGTCACAGAGAGCCACAGTTCTTAAAACAGGGTTGAGAAAACCATTTTGGAGACGGGTGTAAATGGTAAAGAACAGATTATGAAACCAAACTGCCTGCGCTCAAATCCCAGCTCTTGTCCCATATTTGCTAAGCAAGTTTCTTAATCTCTATGCACCTGGATTTTCTCACCTGAAATATGGAAACTAATGATGACCCCTATTTCACAGGACCTGGGTTAGGATTATAGGAGGTAAAGTACTTATGACAGCGCAGCGCTGAGGGGACACTGGGCGCGCGGGGTGGTGAACAGGCGGCGCCCCTGCGTGGAGCCAATTGCAGGCCAACCGCCTGGAGCGTGGCCGAGGGCAGAGCAGATAACGATGTGGACGCAGCCCGCCGGGGCCTGGGCCTGGGCCGGGGCGGACACTGCCACCCGGGCCCGCTGGCGCTGTCTGTGGTCGGTGCTGGCGGTAGCACTGGGGCTGTTGACTGCTGGAGTATCAGCCTTGGAGGTAATCACCCCAAAAGAAATATATGTGGTCTATGGGACAGAAGGGGTGCTGCCCTGCAAGTTCAAGTCTAACATCACCACAGGCCCGGCGACCACAGTCTCCTGGAGCTTCGAGCCAATTGAGTCCAACACCACCGTGTCCTTTTTCTACTTCGTGGACGGTCAAGTGTTCCCCGGGAATGACCCGCTGTTCAATAACAGGGTCACCTGGGCTGGAGACCTCCGCAACAAAGACGCATCCATCAAAATACAAAATATGCAGTATGACCATTACGGTTACTTCATCTGTGATGTCAAAAACCCTCCCGACATCGTCTCTAAACCCGGATATATTCTCCTCACTGTTGTAGAGAAAGAGTTGCCCACGCCGCCCAGGACTCCGCGGCCCCGGACACTGAGGCCTCCTCAGCCCAGGCCTCCGCCACCCAGGACTCCACAGTCCCACAAGCCGCCCTGGAATCCGGTTTCGCACGTGGTGGGTATAGCGGCCGCTGTGATTCTGGGACTCCTCCTCTTCCTTCTCTTCATAACCCTGGTTCTCTGGTACATAAAGAATCGCTCCATTCCGGATAACACCGGGGCCCAGTGATATGCACAGTCAGACCACTCCGGCGGACATCACAGTGACAAGCTGAACAAGTCAGACTCCGTGGTGTGCACGGACATGCGGAAAATTTAAAAGACCCAGATCATATCCTAAGGGAGAAATTCAAATGTGCTCTGTGTAGCAGTGTAGTCAACAGCATGTATGACTGGGACACGGGCAGGCAAAGAGCCAAGGAGATGTAAGGGATATGTATACATCTTCGATTTAACCTTCGGATGGGAGGAGCAGTTGTGCATGATGAAAAGATATGGTTCTACATATATGTAAATTGTCTCGCTGTTTGTTTTTTTACTTTTTTGCATCCAGGGTCATTTACAGTTGGGGAAATTCAGCAACATTCCTGTCACCATCATTTGGATATGGTGCTCCTTAATGGTGATGTAGCAATCTCTTAGTATCCCAACAGACTTGGCCTTTCTGTCTAAGCACTTATTGGAGTTGGAGAATGAAGATACTGTGCGGGAGAAATAGCCAGGGTGGCCTGTCCCACACTGTTTGTTCTGACTGTTGGGTTGAAGTTTTTAGGAAACATCCGTTAGAGATGTCACTTGGAAACAATTTGACAAATTTTTGTGCATGCTTTTTTTCCTCTCTAAATTAAGGGTGGGGAACCTTTTTTCTGTCAAGTGCTTACTTGGATATTTATAGTATCATTCTACAGCCAGACAAAATTATCAACTTAAAAATCAGTCTGCTGTATTTGGTCAAACATTTAATTAACTCACCCTGACGCCTTTTACAAGCCTTATACAGCCCTTGGGTCAAAGGTTCAACACCCATGCTCTAAAGAAAAGGGCATTTTAGCTTCCTAAGTTGTCACAGGGACTTTGAGGTTACACCCTTTCCTGTAGGCTTGTTCATCACAGCAAGGTCAGCAGGGATAGCTGCCGGGCCAGTCTTCCTTGGTCTCTCAGACCAAAGCCCTGTACATGGAACTGAAATAGGAGCCACAGCCTGGGGAGGAGCTGGCGGCCTGGGGAGGAGCTGGCAGCCTGGGGAGGACCTGGCTGCCTGGGGAGGAGAGCACAGGTGTGTTACTTTCTTTGCTGCTGGAAAGGAGAAGCTGCAGGGGAGGAGTTCACTTCCTTCCAGGGGGGCAGGAATGGGATACATGGAACCTCCATTCCCACACTTAACTCGACCCAGAAGACTATTTGAAACTGGAATCATCTTTTCCCATCAGAAATCATGTAAACTGAATAGTCCACTCAAATGATCCCTGTTTTAAGCATTATTATATACAGTACATGTCTGGTGCACTGTTTAATTTAAACAAACACTTTTGAACAAAATATATATATATTTTGGACAATGCCTGGCAAAGAGTAAATGCAATGTAAGTATGTATTAGCCATTATTATTATCATTATTATTCCTCCCTCTGGAACTCATGAATTGAACATAATATAAATGCAAGCTGGAAGCTGTGTAAATATTCATGAATGTACTCTGACATTAGAAAAGTCAGAATTCTTAAATGGAATGTAAGAAATAATCCATGAAGCAATTTTGAGAAGATAAATGGTAACAGAAGTCAAGAAGTTACCAGATGAAAGAAGGTGACATGGACATACATATTATTAGGTCCAGAACAAAAAGAATTTACAGACACTAAGGAGTCATGTTGAAGTTTAAACCTGGACAGGAAGAAATGGAAGCCTCATGATGAGGAGGATGATAATGACACTGAAAGTAGCTAATCACATCTAATACCAATTAAGTATCTACCATACTCCTGACTCTAGGTTGGAACTTAACTTGCATTAAATGGCACAACCCCATGAGATACATACTATTAGGAAGTAGAGATATGAACAAGTCAAGAAACTTACATAAAGTCACGCAGCTAGTACAAACTAAAGGACTCAAACTGTGTATTTCTCTATGACTGCAAGGCCCATTCTCTTAAGCTACAGTATAATCCACACCTACAATGGATCCTAGGGTCACTTTGTAGTTTTTTAGCAAAACTCAATACAATGTTTCTGAAGGCACTTTATTAACTGAATTAACTCGATGCACTAAAATCCCTTGGAGTGCCTCCATTCAGAAGCAGACTGAGAACTAACATGATACTAAGCTTAGATCTAGGGATAAAATAAAGATGTAAGATTCAACCTATGTCCTTGGTAAGTGGCATCTACTGTATACATTAGCAGAAATCAAGCTATATTAAAATAATCCAAACCTGAATAGCTCTGTGTTTCAGATGTTTGCAGAAAGTCCTCACATCAAATTCTGATGACTCTGCTGTGGAGATGGAAAGATCAAATACAAAAACTTAGGCATACCATTTTCAAATCAACAAATTCTTAAGTGCATAATGGTATTTCTTGCCAAATTATTAAAAAAGAGTAGAGGAAGCAAGCAAAGAACTATGAGACAATAGGAACAAACAACTTTAAATATTCAAACTTAGAAAACACATATATTAATTACCATACCTCTTTGAAGACAATCAATGTGTGTTAAAAATAAAAGTTATAGGATTTCTTCTATGCAACCCATGAATATATTGTAACTTCCACTTTTTTTTTAAGTATGTGCTATATCAAAGCATATTACCTTTGAAGATTTTCATATTCTTTACTGGCTCTCCACGATCCACATTATTCTGTACATTGATCTTCATTTGATTAACTTTTTTGGAACTCCTATGTGAAGTTTCATCACCGCACCTCAGTGATTGTTCTTTTGTTGAGAACAGTTTATTTAGCAATTTAGGTACTCCCTTAGCTGCAAAAGCTGTAGGCATTTTTTTCTTAAAGACCTCTAAATAAGACTGTCCTAAAAGTTCAACAATATCAGAAAGAAAGGTAAAATCTTTGAAGTAAGGCAATGGGTGAATCCTTGAGACCTCCTGAAACAATCCAAACAATGGCTCATATAAAGAAATCAGCCTTTTAAAAACACCTTTATAGAGAACCCTAGAGGAAGAAATAGATCATGAATGAACCAGTAACTACAATTTGCAGATTACATAATCACCACAATTCAAAGCTGAAAATAAATGCCTATCAACTTACCACTAAAGATAAAAAACCCTATCGCACATATTTGCAAATAGTCAGATTAATCTAGCCTTAATAGAAAAACCCCAAGTACAAAATGTTATTTAAGCTTTAACTGGTTTGGCTCAGTGGTTTGAGAGTTGGCCTGCAGACTGAAGGATATCAGGTTCGATTCCAGTCAGGGCACATGCCCAGGTTGCAGGCTTGATCCCCAGTAGGGGGGGTGCAGGAGGGCAGCCAATCCATGATTCTCTCTCATCATTGATGTTTCTCTCTCTTCCTCTCTGAAATCAATAAAAATATATTTTAAAAATCAGTTATTTAAAACACACACGCAACAAAATGTTATTTAAAACTAAATGAAGCCCTAACCAGTTTGGCTTAGGTGATAGAGCATCAGCCTGCGGACTGACAGTCCCAGGTTCAATTCTGCTCAAGGGCATGTACCTTGGTTGCGGACACATCCCCAGTAGGGGGTGTGCAGGAGGCAGCTGATAAATAGTCTCTCTCATTAATGCTTCTAAATCTCTATCACTCTCCCTTCCTCTCTCTAAAAAACAATATATATATTTAAATATATATATATATATATTTTTTTTTTTTAAAGCAAAACTAAATGAAAAAGCTGTCTCAAAGGATATGCACCAAAATCCTAAGTTTGGTTTTATCTAGGTGTTGAGATGTTAGGTAAATTTCAGGTTTTTTACATTTTTTCCTGAATTTGAAAATTTCTTGAAATAAGCATGTTTTATTGTTATAATCACAAGAGCTTAGTTATTTTCATTATAGACAAGAATGATTGTTTGACATTTAAAATAATACGATTAGTAATTTTAACATTGTTACCTCTAAGAATAAGTAGAAAAAAAGAATGACTGGAAACAGTGGTTAAGATATCCAGGTTAAGATAGCAAAGCAAGGTTTTTAATCTCCAAAGACAATTTTTTTTTTCGTTTTTCCTAGTTTTAATTTAAATTAGAGATAACCATCCCAATTGTCTAAAATGGCCCAAATCTGGTCTCTTTACAAATATGGGCAGATTTCAAGTCCAGTTGAACATCAAGTAAGCTTCATCCTATATAATAAAAGGATAATATGCAAATCGACCTGTACAGTGGAACCATCAGTCACTGATCACCAGGGGACAGACATGCACTGATCACCAGGGGAGACACTCAACTCAGGAGCTGCCCCCCTGGTGGTCAGTGCGCTCCCACAAGGGGGTGCACTGCTCAGCCAGAAGACAGGCTCACAGAGCCTCTCCCACCTCTGCCACAGCCCTAAGGATGTCCGACTACCAGCTTAGGCCCGCTCCCTACTAAGCCATCAGTGGGACATCCTCCGAGGGCTCCTGGACTGGGAGAGGGTGCAGGCCGGGCTGAGGGACCCCCTACTTGGCAAGTGCACAAATTTTGTGCACTGGGCCTCTAGTAATATATAGAGATGCAAGAGAAGGTCTCTTTACCTTTCAGCTACTTCCTATGTTCTTATATCAACTAACTGTATTTCAAAAAGCAGTAGTGTTTCAGGTGGAGAAAAAGAATCTGGAGTTCATAAGGAAGATCAAGCCATTAAGAATTATAAATCTAGAGCAAAAAGAATTGATTGATACATCCTGCCCAGAAAAACCTTCACTTTAAATGGGCCAGTTGCTGGATGATTACAGCAATGATTTTTTTTTCATTATTCTAATGGTTAATCCTAGGATTTCATTTGCTTAATTGTTTAGTGTTGAGGTGGTCTCTTGCCTTCAGATTTAAAGCCTAATCTTCTGACATAAAGCACTTAGCTTCCAAATCCTCCCACATAAACTCTGATCAAACGAAACAGAGCTCCCACAAGTTCAGCATCCCCTGGGAAAATAAATATGAAAACCAGTCAGAAACCTGGCTGAGTGAAAGAGATGAAAAAGAAATGATCTCACAGGAGTGTACGTACATACCATAACCTGCTCACCAGCCCAACCATCACAAGGTTTAACACAATGAATTCTTGCAAACCTAGGTGTTTCACAGTCAAACTGAAGAATTAAGTTAAAGTTGGAAAACAGAACCAAAGTAATTTGGATTTTGTAAGATGTTTATGAAGGAACTAGATTGGAAATAGAATTTTTTTGAGGAATTAAAGCCTTAAAACATGTTCTATTTGACTCATGGAAACTTAAAATACAGTTGTATATGCTCTGCTAGAGCTCTCATTATTAAACTAAGTTCCTAAGGTTTAGTTTCTAAGATTAAGAATTTCTGTCAATGTCCTAAGGATAATACATATCATTTGAGAGAGATAGGCAGTCTCTGGCAATGGTAGTACGAAGTAATTCCTGGGAAAAGGAGGCCACGAAGCAAATTTATAAGAATTCCATAGGTTATAACTCCTATAGACCTTCAGACCCCCTAGCTTTCAAACAGAAATACTACTAAACTTATACAAACAATTCCAACTGAGAAACAGGTATTTCAGTTGCTTCAAGGATACAGAAATGTCTTGCAGCAACAGTCTAACAAGCAAAGTAACAATTTGCAGGCTCCCAAAATCTTCATCAACACAAATTCCACCACTGGTTGGCTGGGGATGACACACGCTTTGGTAGCTAATGGCTGATTTTCACTTGACAAAAACAGAAAAGTATATTACTTTCATTATTAAATTGAAACTACTTTTAAATACAACGTTGGAAAAGAGAACCAAAGTAATTTGGATTTTGTAAGTTACATTTATAAAAGAACTAGATTGGAAATAGAAAGTATTCAAGTTCAGAGTTCCTTTAAGCTCAATTTGAGCTAGTTATGCTTAAATAGGACTCACTGAATTTCATGGACAATGATGTTTCAATATAATCTTATCTTGTCTCAGATTTCAAGTGACACCAGTCCCTCCCACAAGCCAACAAACGGAGATTACAACAAATACCTGCACCCCTCATTAAAACAACACTTGTATAACTGAGGTATAATTGGTTATATTCCAACACCAAGAAGTTAAAAAATCCAAAGGGAGATCACAGCAAGACAGAGTTCTCATCACAAAGCAACTAACCACTTACTTGAAAGAAAACAACTCAGACAGATCCTGAATTGAACTCTCCAAATTCATGTTTTTCAAACGATTTAAACACTGTTCAACCTGAAAGGGGAACAGCACCTCAAATTCATATGTATATAATACAGAGAAGGCCACTGATGGAACCAGCAAAGCAAAGAAAACAAAAATTTCAAAATATGGAAATATACTGAATACCATAGAATACCCTTTTATTTTTTAAGTGTAAAGAAATCTGTAACTCAAAGCAATAGCTTCTGGCTAAAAATCTAAAATTTATGCAGCAAAACAAATTTCTCAAACCACATTATAACCGAGAATTTATTATGTGTGATGCTATAAACTACACCAAAGTAAGTATAAGATTATTCTCAAGATTATAATTTTTCTGAAGCTCAATTTCAGAAAGCTCAATTAGGAAAGTGATCAGTCTATTCATTTTACAAATGCATGCTGAATACCTACTGTGTGCAAGGCATGCTGGGAAATAAACACTGACCAATATCTAGTTACTAAAAATTTACTAGTAAATTAGTGTGTGTGTGTGTGTGTGTATTTAATTAAATGTTGAAATTAAAAGATATGCCTTGCTGAAACCAGTACGGCTCAGTGGATATAGCGTCACCTGCATACTGAAGGGTCCAGGGTTTGATTCCGGTCAAGTGCATGTATTGTACCTTGGTGACAGGCATATCCCCAGTAGAAGGTGTGCAAGAGGCAGCTGATCGAAGACTCTCTCTCATCAATGTTTCTAACTCTTTACTCCTCTCCCTTCCTCTCTATAAAAAATCAATAAATATATATTTTTTAAGTAAAAAATAAATAAATAAAAGATATGCTTATTTAAAATTGCATTCCCCTCAGCACTTTTTCTCCATAGCAATTATCACCATCTGACATTTGATTAACTAACTGCCTTTCTCCTCTCAACTATAAGTTCCATGAGAACAATATATTTTGTTTATTTTACCCACCACTGTACTCAGTACTGAGCACTAAGTAGGCATTCAATCCCATTTTTAATAATAAAAAAAAGGAAAAAATGGTAGCCATCCATTATACAAAATGTGTCAAGAATTCTGTGGTCCTCAGGAAATACCGCAAAAAGGGCATGCATGGGACTGCATCCAGACTGAAGGATGTCAAAATCTAGATGGTCACTGATACTGCCAAAGACAGTATCTTGCTAGAGCTACATATAAGCTACTAAAAATCCAATCAAAGTTATGGATTCTTCTTAACAGAATAGTTTTCAGAACAATGGCAGCAACAATCCCTAACTTCTCTGGGGTCAGCTCTTTTTCATTTTTTTATTTATGGACACCATTCTTTGAGAAAAGTACTGAAAAACCAAGATGGTAAAGCACCTGGGGAACATAGTAAGTGAGCTATGTTTAAAACAAAGGCAGGGAGGGGGCTTGAGAAGTTTAACAAGGAAGAGAGAACATAGAGAAATGTAAGAACAGTTTTATATATATTATGTGTGTGTGTGTGTGTGTGTGTGTGTGTGTGTGTGTGTGTGTGTATTAATTTAAGGGAGGCAGGAAGGAGAGAGAGAAGCATCAATGATGAGAGAAATCAATTGGTTGCCTCCTGCATGCAGAGGCAGTTTTGACTAATTCAATTATTATAGATGGCACAGCTACATAAAAGGAAGCAGCAGAGAAAATGGAACACCAAATTTTTCTGACTAAGTTATTATTCACAACTTGCAATCCAAGAGGAGAAATCTGCTCAAACTGAGATAAATTTGGTTTTGGAATTAAAGACTCAAGAGGAGATAAAGCTGCCCAGACATGAAAACTTAGGGGAAGGCCATGATCCCAGTTCTTTGATGAAGAAATAGTCACCTTTTGTATCTTAAGTAATGGGAGTAGAAAATTAACCAGAGAGCATGAATCTGTAAGTGCAGACTCAGTTTCCATAAATAACAAACTATGAAGTAGCAGTGTGATCTCCATCTTCATCAAGCAAACATGCTGAGTCTCAAACACAAGGCTTCCTCCTTACCTGTTTGAGGGCCAAATGGGGCTTGTGGCGGCCCATTCTGTGGTGATTGCTGTGAAGGACTGCACACAGCACATCTGTTTCTGCATCTAAGGTCTGGCTCTTCAGTGACAGGGTAACAAGCCAGCATTCTTTAAGTACAGCTGCAATACAAAGGTCTAAAGCAGAGAATTTTAATAAGACTTACTATGTATTTCTGCATTAAGTGTATTATATAAAAGGAAGGGAGCATCTTTCCTCATTTTTAAAGATATCTTATTTATTGATTTGAGGAGGGGTGGTGGTGGGGTAGGGAGAAACATTGATTTGTTGTCCCACTTATTCATGCATTCACTGGTTGATTCTTGTACGTGCCCCGACCGCAACCTTCGAGTATTGGGATGATGCTCTAACCAACTGAGCTACCTGGCCAGGGCTCCTTGTCAGTTTTATTATTTTTTTTTTTAAATATATTTTATTGATTTTGTACAGAGAGGAAGGGAGAGAGATAGTTAGAAACATTGATGAGAGAGAGACATCGATCAGCTGCTCTTGCACACCCCCTACTGGGGCTATGCCCGCAACCAAGGTACATGCCCTTGACCTGAATCGAACCTGGGACCCTTCAGTCCCCAAGCCGACACTCTAGCCATTGAGCCAAACCGGTCTTGGCTCCTTGTCAGTTGTAAAGCAGCGTTTTTCAATCATTTTTATCTCATGGCACACATAAACTAATTACTGTGGCACACCAAAATATATTTTTTGCTGAACTGACCAAATAAATAGGTATGATTTTGATTCATTCACACCAGAAAGCTATTGGTAGGTTGCTTGTTGTCATTTTTTTTATTTGACAATCTAAAGGAAAAGAGGTCAGTGCCCATAAACAGTCAAGTAGTACATGTTTAAAATATTCTTGTGGTCCTAGCCAGTTTGGCTTAGTAGACAGAGTGTCGCCCTGAGGACCAAAGGGTCCCTGGTTCAATTCTGGTCATGGGCACATACTCT